CCAGACCATTCATATGAAGCAGTGCTGTAGGGCAAGTCCCTGGGTAGCCAGGTGACAGAATCTCGGCACTCCATGCTCTGATTTCACGCCACAGGTTTGGATCAGCATCCTAACCTGCTGACATGATTTTAAATTAGTCCATTCCATTTCAAACAACAGATAAAAGCATTCGTTCTACATTGTCATTCACATCATATGAAAAAAAAAGGGGAAGGTGGCCAAAGACTAAAGACTGTCTTTAGAGATGCCCTGTCCACCATGGCAGCCACTAGCCACATGTGGCTATTCAGTACTTGAAGTGTGCCTAGTCCAAACTCAGATGTGCTATAAACGCAAATACACATCAGATTTCAAAGACTTCATACAAAAAAAGAATGTAAAATATCTCAATGATTTTTTGGTACTGATTACATGCCAAGATAATATACCTAAATATATCCAAAAATATTAAGTGAAATAAAATACACTAAACAGTAACTCACCTGTTGCTTTAGAAAAATTGTTACTGTGATACTAGAACATGTTAACTTACGTGGCTTGTATTATTTTCCCATGGGACAGCAAACTGCTCTAGAGCTCTTTCTCCAAGACAACATCAATCAGCATTCTTTCTTTCAATATGGTAAATCTGTCCTGAACTGTCTTCACTATCTCCTAATTCACATTTCACCATTTTATCCACGAAGATATTCTGGAGAAGTTTTGCCAAATGCCTTCAATTCACATATTCAACACATTTCTGCCATAGCAACCTTTCTGAAAGCAGAGAGAGAGAAAATGAGAAGCTGAACTCCTGGCCCAACTGCTAAGCCCAGCAGGCACCCATGTCACCTCAGTAGGTCACCATTTTCCATTTTCTACCCCTATTCAAAGGTCGGATTCTTTAGACATTGATCCCCAGCTTTAAGTATGGAAATTAATATAAAGCAGCACATGCCATTCTCTCTGTGCAGGATTTGAGGAACTCAGCAATTACATACCTGTATTTAATTTGGATTTTGACAACAGAATTAGAGTTTAGTAAGTGTCTGCTAAACAAATGGGCAGGCCCGGTGTGGTGGCGCACGCCTGTAATCTTAGCATCTGGGAGGATTCCTTGAACTCAGGAGTTCGAGAGCAGCCTGAGCAAGAGTCTCTACTAAAAATAGAAAAATTAGCTGAGTGTGGTGGTACAACACCTGTAGTCCCAGCTACTCGGGAGGCTGAGGCAGGAGGATTGCTGAGCCCAAGAGTTTGAGGTTGCAGTGAGCTATGATGACGTCACCGCACTCTACCCAGGGTGACAAAATGAGACTGTCTCCAAACAAAGAAACAAAAAACAGAAAAGAAAAAATTAAACCCCCTTTTTGCTCCTCTCCTTTCATTAACAAAAAAAAAAAGGGGGGGGGCAATGAACAATTTTCTTATGGTATCAGAACCTTTATTTCGATGATTTGTCACCTCCAGGCCTTGCTTTATCCCTGGATGAAAAGGGTACCCCCAAAGAACCTGTGCTTTAGAGTTGGGAAAAACCAAACTGCATTGTAGCCCTGTCTCCTGCTAATTCTATGACCTTGGATATGTTACTTCACTTCTCCAACACTACACACTTCTCTAGGTTTTTCTGGGATTACAACCATTAAAAGAGGAGGGCTAGGCCATGCTGTCCTAGTTCATGCTACTTCCCGTCTCCATCCCATCCTCACAGAGGGTGACAGCACATGCCAGACAAGAAGGTGGCTCCTTTGTCCCAACACCGGTGACTGGCACCGTTCTGGCCACCGACTGCATCTTTCCCAAATGTCTTTGAACCTCACAGTTCAAGGGACGGAGTCAGGTTTTGTGCTCTGATCAGTAGCAGAGGCAATTGTTCCGTTACTGTTCTCATTTTTCTCCTTCCTTTATACTAGCTCTTCCCTTCACAAAAATATTTCCATTGAAAGCTATGAAAAAGCTTGCTCATTAACTGGTCAGTGAGGAGACACAGGCAGAATGTTCTAGAGCTATACAGCACAGCTTTTTTGAAACTGCCCTTCCCCCACAGCCTGTCCCTGCTACAGCTGTGGGCCCAGGAAGGCCATGTGCACCTTGTGACCGACTCTGGACCGGATCGGGGCTCAGCACCAACCCAAACGTCACTGCACTGCCTGGCCCATCAAGTCCCTTCATTCCTTCCACTCTCCAGACCAGGAGATCCAGAGCCACGCTGGATGGTTTCGAGCTCTAGCGCTGTAAAGCCTTGAGAAGTTGGGGACAGAGGCAATACCAGAGTAACCCGACCCACAGGCAAGCGGACCTTACGAGGGGACAGAAACCGAGAGCCTCGCAAAGCAAGCTGTAGCTTGTTAGGACTGAAAAAAGCAGAGACAGGAGACCGCACAAACTGTGAGACAGAGACAGGGAGGCACGGGGGAGCAGCTGCCCTGCCTCCCCATTTTCTAACTGCCTGCTGTTGGCTCCCTAAGAGCCTTCTGGTGTACACTAATAACCCTATTTGCTCTTGAGCTTTTGTGGAGTGAGTTTCTGCACCTCAATCAAACGCGCTTCAACCAAGACACATCTCTGTGCGTTCTTTCCCAAGCCTTCTCTTTCCCCCTGGTGGCCCCGAGACTGCAAAATCAGACGCTGGCACCTGCCGGAACCTGGGCCAGGGAGGCGAGCTGTGATCACACACACACCCTTTGCAAGACGACGACACAGAAAACCTTTGCCCATCCCCGATTACCTTTTCTCAAGGGGGAAAAGTTTATTGCAGGTTGGGTACACTTGTAAAAGGCAAAATCTAACAATCGGAAGGAACTCTAAGGGCCCACCAGTTCAGAAGATGAGCATTACATAAAACAAATACACCGATTATGTACAATCATTAAAAAGAGCAGGGTGATGCACAAAAAGGAAAAACTGCCAGCAGCCTTCCAGAGGTTACAGAGGATGTCTGGGGAGCACCTTCCCGCCCCAGTCCTGGCCGTGCCTCGGGCAGGTTTCCTCCCTCGTGGTTTGCAGCCCCTGCTCCGCATGGAAAGCAGATGACGAGAGGCACGGGGGTGTCCCTGCTGCCGCGCCCGCAGCCGGCTGAGCAGAAGCCCCGCGCTGGAAACCCAGAAGGCAACTTTGTCAGCATCTCCTAACACACTGCGGGAAGAACTGGGGAAAACACAAGATGCCCCGGGGAGAAGTGACCTTCTCCGGCAGTCTGTGTACAGATAAATACCCAGTGTCATCTCAGGCGAGCCCAGCGCCCCAGCCCAATGGCCGTGCTGCTTCACGGGCATCAAAAGCACGTCTCGCAGTCTGGAATCGGGGTCCAGCAGCCAGATTGTCCTCTTCAGTGTCCGTTTCTTCTATTGGAAAGCCAGTCCCTGTACCCGCCCTCAGCAGACCAGGGTGTCACATCACTGCTCACAGGGCTCCCACAAAAGGGACAAATGCAGTTCTAAGTCTTTTGTAAAAAAAAAAAAAAAAAAACAAAAACAAAAACAAAAACAAAAAAAACCAAAAAGGAGCACTCTCTGTTAACTTAAATAAGGGAGAGAGATCTTGGTTCATCCAAAGTGTTTCTATAAAAACCCATTTGATGCTGGGTAAAAGTTGCACATTCTCCTGGTGTAGCTGTAAAACGTCCACTGAACCGAAAGCAGGGATGGCTTAAAATGAGTCACTCCAAGTATCTGTCAGCAAAGCTGACACGGCCCGTGACACCTCCAGGAACTAGAGGGCAGAGTCCAGCACCAGACGAGGCCAAGCTCCCGGCACCGGGCTCCGGGACGCCCGGCTCCTGCTCCCAGGCAGCCGGTGGCGGAGGCCAACAACTCACAGTCAGGAGAGAAAGGCCCTTTCACGAGGGCGGCGCGGCCAGGCCGGCGGAAGAGTGGGCTTCCTGGCGTGGCGGCGGCTTGGCCTGTCTGCAAAAGGCTCAGTCTCGGTGGCGGCGCCAGGTCCCTGCCCGCTCACAGCCGGTGGCAGCAGGAGGACAGGGGGGTGTGGGAGATTCCGGAGGGGCAGCGGCCAGGGCTGCCACCCCAGACACAGGGGTCTCCTCGGCCGAGGGAGGAACTGGAGAGATCTGCTCCGTCCCAGGTCTGCTGCTGTCGTGACAGTGCTTACTGCAGAAAATCTGCCCCTCCTTATCTAGAGCCGTGTTCTGAGGAGAAACCAGTAGAGACAACACGTTACCCAGGCCCAGCCTCGGGTCACAGCTACCACGAGCAGAGAGCACGAAAGAGCATGCACGGGACTCAGAAACAGAAGAGGAGAAATAACATCGAGCTTCTAAAGGGAAGCCTTAAAGAAAAGCAACGGTTTAGGGTACCCAGCCCCGGGGAAGAGGCTGACCTCGGCCTCTGCTCCTGCCGTGATCGGGGCCCCATAGCCCAGGAAAAACGCAAGTCGGTGGCAGCTGTCCTCTCTAGCCCTGCGCTGCGCCCAAGCTCTGACTGCTCTGCCCTTGCCCGGATTGAAGCTCGAGAGAATCCTGGGACAACAGCAAACCCTACGAAGGTGGTCAGTCCTTAACGTTCACTTTTCTGAAGAAACTTCTCTGTTACGGATTGAAAAGCCACTCGTATGTCATATAAATAAGTAACACCCTCACAACCCAGTGGCTGTGTCATCTATAACAGGCCCAGGAATCCAAGATGGAGCCACACTGCCCACGTGTGGATCCCCTACGGCCTCTGCCACTCTTCCCTCCACGAGAAGGAAGCGTCTGTGACCTGACACACCTGGAAGTTTCCAATCTGCTCAACTCCTCAGGGAGCAGAGAACTCCACCCAAGTGTGAGGAAATGACCCTGGCTTTCTGACCCTGGACTGGGAAGTGAAACCGCGTCCTCTTTTGTCCTTCTTGGAGCATTTCTTGCCTGTCCCGTGAAACCCATCGAGCTGCCATCTCCCTGGCTTTTCCAAATATGAGGGAAACTGCAGTTCTCCGGCACCTTCAGCTAAAAGGGAGGATGGTCTGGGGGCATTCTGTAATCTAACTACCCTGGGGGAAAATGTACTATAGGTTCTTTCAGTACTTTGACCCAAAAAAAAAAAAAAAAAAAGAATCTGGAGAAAGAAAGAATAAACGACAGGGCTTCCTCAGAGCGACTTGTGTGGCAGCCCTCAGGGCACTTGGTGCCAACTATAAAACGGGAGTTCTCCACGGGCCCTGCCAAGCTCAAGCTGAACACCGAGCGATTTCCAAGGCCAACTCTGATTACCTGGGGAAGAGGTAACTGTGGAAAAACCCAGTCAGGAGCTCGGTTTCCAAGCTCCTAGTCCCACAGGGGCCACCTCCACCCCCCTACACAGGAAACACAGAGGCAGCACGGTGTTTTCTACCACAAAATGTCTCCCGGGCAGAAGAAAACAGCGATCCCCCCCCCCCCGCCCCGTTATTTCTCCTTTCCTCTTCCCGTCCGGAGAACACGTACGTGTGCGGCAGAAGGAAGCATGGCAGTGCAGTTAGTACATACCGTCGCCTTGGACCTAGTCAGAGAGAAGCAATGCAGGCGGCGGGAGAGGCGAGAGAAGGCAGGAGAGAAGCGGGGACAGAAACTAGACTTACTTTAAACAGAAGCAACATGAGTGAAACAGTTTTGTCTATCTTACATTAAGGAAAGAAACCCAGATCGTTCCCCAATTTCCCCCTAAAAGGAAGCCTCGTCCCCGAGTGGAGCAAGCAGTCCACGAGAACCTGCACTGAAAGATGCCGTGTGGCGCTCTGTCACTGTTCCCTTTCCTGCCACAAGGTGGCCTCCTGCCTGCGGTGTCTGAGGCTGGCGTGAGCCCACCGGGATAGACAAAGGAGCCACCCAGCATGCTAAGGACAGTCAAAGAAAATGAAGTGTGATCCCAAACCACGAGGCCTCTCTGAAACCCAAACTTTATCCAATAAAGTTATCTTCTCTTATCTCAAAGGCCGGCTGACAGTATACTATCTAATTGACCAAAAATTCATCTTTGGAGATACAGTAGGAGAAAGAGAGCAAAAGCCTTCCCAAAGGCACCCGTCTTATGCTGTCATGCACAAAAAGATGCTTTTCCCACCGAAGTGGAAAACGGCTCTTAGCAGGAGAACTACTGGAATCCTCCTCCTGCGCCCTGGCCAGCCTCTGGTCTGGGAAGGCAGGCAGCGGGGCAAGCTGAGACGTTTTAAAGGAAAGTTTTCCAGGGGCCGCGCTTGGCTGGCGGAAAGGACGTCAGTAGGGACAGGAGACCCGCGCCAGGAAGGAGCTAAGAGCTGGCGGGTGGCGTCAGAGCTCTGAGACAAGCATGCAGCCCGGGTTAGGAGTGGCTCTGATTAAGCGCAGCACGTTCAATACCAGGATTCTGCTGCGGGATTCCCCATTGTCTCAACTGGGTAAAGAACGAAACTCTGAGGTTGTCTCTCAAACTGTCAAATCAAACTGTCAAATAAAATGCAGATAACGGCATCAACTCAACTTCGTTTCACCTTTATTTGCCAATTCCTAGCCTATAATTTTGTCACTGCAGCCTCAGGCCTCCACTGTGCAAGAACACTGTGGTGACGGCAGGCAGGGAGGGTTCCACCTGTCAGTGACACCGTAGTTGACGGTTCAACCTCAAAACATCCATACGCTATGTCCACTCTTATCAGTATCTGCAGGAAACCATACTGGCCCCACCTACTCTAGTTATGAGGACATATGAATACCAGGGAAGAGTCATTTTGAGGTTATTTTTAATATAAAAACATTTAAAACTGTTCCCAAGGACACACAGTAATGGTGAGGAGGATGAGGATGACAACACAGCAGCGCCACAAGCTTCCCCCACACAACCATGCCCCGACGGGTCCCGAGGTGGGTGAGGAGCAGCAGGGGGCCCCTCCCCCCGCCACGCTTCTGGAGACAAGCCACAAGTCACAGGCGGCTTTTTGGCCATGGAGAATGGGCACCGCCAGAGCCCAGCTGTGCCGATATCTCCCTTGGGAACTGAATGTGACAGTGACATTCAGCAGGTCCTCAGAGCTAACCGCCTGCAGAGTTGTGTAGGGAACGTGGGGTTAGAGGGACCCTGCCGACATGCGCAAAATGACAGCCGGACACACGTCAACAGGCAACTTTTACGATCACCACTGGAATTACAAATAAGGGTTGTTCATTCATACAAACGCCCTGTTAAAGCCCAGGGGTTTGGCATTCGGCTGCTGAACTCCTTCCTCAGCAAGTGCAAAATGCTGCCTGTAAACTGTACCGCGTGGGTCTGTCTGAGGGAGCTAAGTGTCCTTACCCAGAACAGAGCTCACGCTGGGCCATAAGGTAGAACGGCCGGTCATTCTAGAACCTCTGCCAAGAGCCAGTCGTAAGGAGGCTGGGCCCAGGCTTTCGGCCACCGATTCCCATCTGAGCCCCCGGAATCGGAAGATGGCCCAGGCAATGACTCCCTTACAAGTCACCGAAATCTCTCCTAAGCCCCAGTCACAGGGCTGTGAAGGGTCTCCCTCTCAAAAGACTATGAGCTTAATTAATACAGTTCACACATTTGGATCCAACAAATCTCTCTTAAGGTTTTTCATTACACATTGAATACGTCAATTTTTTATGTTTTATTTTTCTAAATGTTTCCAGAAGCTGCCTCACGACAGTGCGTGGCCGGGCTGCACACCACGCATCCCATCCATCAGGGCTAGCTCTCCTGAGGGAACCACTCAAAACTGTTCTCATGCTGGGGACTCAACCAAGATGGTTCTTTTCAAAGTGTTTAGGCTGTAATTCTGTGACAAGTCTGACTTCGCAGGCTCTCAGCAAAACACTGCTAAAATGCTAGGAAAAACCACAACTCAAGAACCTTCCCCTCATTCTGGCATGGAGCACCCCCAAAGTCCTGCAGGCCGTCAAAACAGCCAGTTTGCAAACTCAGACTTTGTCTGGGGAGGGAGAGGGGGAGCACAGTTTCTGACGGGGGTGCAGCTGGGGGTGGGGACGGCCACCAAATAAATACAGCCAAACCAGCAGGTGCCAAGAACGCGGAGGACGCTCGGCAAACACGGCAGGGCGTTTCACATCCGCGGGGCTGGGGGTGTGTGGGTGGTGTGTGCAGGCGTGTGGCCTCCCTTCCGCGTCCATCTGGACCCCGCATCTTCCTAGATAAGGTTCTGGAGAACTCTTATTCTGTGAGAATAAGCAGCTGTTCTTCCTCTGGTTGGGCGGGAAACAGACCCTTTCCCAGAGGGTGAGAGGCCCGTCCTGGGCTGTAGAGATGGCCCGTCCCCAGCTGTCAGAACCCAGTGGCGTTGGGAGGCCAAAAAGTAGGCGCTCGGGCACCCGTCACACCTTAGAGAGTGGACTCCGTGGCTCTGGAAGGCAGCCCCACGCCTGCCGCTGGGAGTGGGGCGGGGAGGACAGAGGGCGGGAGGATGCTCGGGCTCCCCAAGCCCGCAAGTGCCCCGGCCCGGACAGCGGGGTGGGGTATGCCGGCCTCACTTCCGTCTCGATTTTGTTTTTTTCTGCCCCATTTTCCTTTTGTTTCACTTAACGTAACTTTTCATTTTAGTTTATTGTGTTTATGTATTTAGATAAGCTGCTTTATAAAAAAACATTTTAGAAAAAGAAAGGGCTGAAAAACTATGCCCATCGTCGTTACTGACTTCTCGTAAAATTTTACCAACACTGAAAAAACTAATTTTTTTTACTTGTTCTGTACTTATAAAAACTCCCAAACTGTCTTTTACAAAACACTGACTTTTTTTTTTTTTAAACAAAATTTGTTTAACTTTGGCTGTTTCTTTTCCCAAGTCGGAAAGAGTAATTCATCTCTCAAATAATTTGTTTTTGAAGCCTGGAGTAGGCAGGGAGTTATTTCCCTATACTGTAAAATCCCACCCGGGCTCGAGACTCTCTCCCCGGATGAGAAAGCGGAGGCGGGAGTGGAAGCAGCTGCCTCGGAGGCCTTGAACCAGGCGTGGCGCGGCGCCCGGGCCTCGGGACTGGCCTTGCTGGCCCCCGCGCGAGGCCAGGCAAGCGCCCTCCACGTGCCAGCCCCCCGTCCGTGAAAACAGGAACATGGAAGCTACCAACTTCCATGCGAGAGCAGCTCTCGGCCACTGAACTGAAAGGATTCAGTGTCGGCTCAGCAGTCGGGCCACACACTGCGGCTCCCACAGCAGAACCACGCGTCCCACTCACCATGATGACGGAGACCCCAGTGGTGGTGCTGTTCTGTTTGGGGAGCGCATTATTAAAGTGCTGTTTTAGTTTACCTGTTACCTCCGCTTGCATATTATTCTCCTGGGAGGCATCGTCCTGCGGGAAAGAAAAGAATCAAATGCGATGATTTTTGATCCTCACCTTTAAAAGTTGTCTTTCCCTTAACAGTCACCCCCGCCCTGACCTCTTCCTAAATGGGCCCGTCTCAGCTACAGGATTAGGGGAACAATGATCTTTCAAAAACAATTACTGTCACGCAGCAAGGTCGCGCCCTCAGAAGGACCCGGCGCCATTCACTGCACCCCTCGGGACTGCAGCAGGCCAAGGAGACGCCCAGGTCTCCAGCGGCTCGGAGGAGGGCAGTCTTTACGCTTCTGAGACCTCCCGCCAAGGCACACAACTTAGTGTGTTCCCTCCCGTGAAAACATCAAAATCAACCAACAGTTTATTATTTGAATCAAAAATTCATTTGGCTGCCAGTCTTTACTGCTCATAAAGAAATGTGGCATCTCAGCCACTTGGTCCAAAACCAAGGAGAGCAGCAGGCGGGGCGCACAGAGGGTGCACCCAGAGGGCAGGATGTGGGGGGCAGTGGAGGTGCACAGGGATCCCCCCCAGGTCAAAAAAAGGCCCTTGGCTAAGGGAATTAACTCCGCTGTCCCACACCCTCCAGGACAAGAGGGAAGTGCAGACTCTCCCACAGCGGCCACTCAGTGCACCGCGTTCACCCTCCACCCTCAGGTACTGCCCACGCCCAGAGAGAAGTCTGCCGGCTCCCCGCGTGCCCAGCCTAGGCCGTGATGGCAGAGATCGGAGTCTGAAACGTGCTCACCTGCAGGGCAAAACCCCAAAACTCTCAAACCCCAGAACTACAGAAGGCGAGAGCTCTTTAAAGAGCCTCAGGGCCAACTCCTTCGTTTTGCAGATAAGGAAACTGGTGCCCAGAAAGTGACAGTGACTTGCCCAGGTTACTCACAGAGCAGGATCTAAGACTGGGACTCTGGTGCCAACTGCTTTCTCCCAGAGAGCCATCTTCACGCTACTCGCTCATCAGGAAAGACAGGCATTTCGTCCACCACAGAACTGAGACACGGAACTTTGCATGTGCGAAAACCGCGGCGAGCAGCCACGCCGCTGGCCACAGAACACACGGACGCCCTTTCCCTGGGAATGTGGGTACTTACTGACACCCAGGGGTGACTCAGGATCTGTCCCGCGGTACACCGAGCTTCGACGTTTACCTGAAGCATTTGACTGATTAATTCCTAAAAACAAATAAGACCACAGAGGAGGAGAAAGGAGGTAATTCCAGCATAAATACAGAAATCTCAGTTTACACCAAGCTCTTCAAAATAAAAAAACAGCCAACACAGCTGCTCAACCATTCGAACTTATAAACGCTATTACCACCTACACTCCCAGCACCCATGCGAGGCACCGCCTACGTGAGCAGCAGAGAGAGAAAGAGAAGGTCTCTCCTGAGTCCACGTGAAACCAAGACGTTCTCTCCAGAGAGTTCTGGTCATTATTCTCATCCTGCAGTGTAAAACTGCAGCATTTTTCCTGTTGGCAATTCAGTGTGTCTCATGGGTTTGTTCCCATATTCTGAGGGGGGCCCAACACATATTTCTTGAATAAGTGCAAGAACGAGTGCTGAGAGCTGAGACAGCATGGGAGGCTGGCAGGGCCAACCGGTCCAGCTTTCAGGATTTGGTTGAGAACTTCAGAGACCACACGTGAAGGGGGGAGGAAGCCCCCGGAGTTCCCTCCCGAGAGCCGCTGCAACCACATTGGTGGACGAGGACTCCACAACGTAACACAACCCAGAGAAACAGGCCTAGAGGGTACCTTGGCAGAGTCTGTGATGTTATCCCAGTAGGGGGCTGGAAACTCCAGCTTCCCAGCCAAGATCTGGTCAAAGAGATCTTCCTGGAGATTGTTCTCACTAAGCCAGCGACAAAGAAATGGAAGAAAAGTCAAAGTCACCACACAGGTTTTCAACAAAATGCTTGTGGGAACCAATGGGGAAAGGCATCCAGTCTCTGATTTGAACGTTTCCTGTTTTATTTGTGTATCTCAATTGCATTTCTGATGGCGAACTTTTCCTTTTAGACAATGAACTCAAAAACATTTCCATAGGCCTGGGACTCAGGCAGAAAGATGGAGACAGAGAGGGTGATTCAAGAAATTTGTTTAAGGAACACAGAGTTTCAGTTTGGGAAGATGAAAAAGTTCTGGAGATGGATGGTGGTGATGGTTGTACAACAATGTGAATATAACCTAGGCTACTGTACAGTACACTTAAAAATTTTTTTAAAAGATAAATTTTGGCTGGGCACAATGGCTCATGCCTGTAGTCCTAGTACTTTGGGAGGCTGAGGCGGGAGGATTGCTTGAGGCCAGGCCAGGGTAACACAGTGAGATACTATCTCTACAAAAAAATTTTAAAAATTAGCCAAGCTTGGTGGCACAGGCCTATAGTCCCAGCTACTTGGGAGGCTGAGGCAGGAGGATCATTTCAGCACAGGAGTTTGAGGCTGAAATGAGCTATGATCACACCACTGTACTCCAGCCTAGGTGACAGAGTGAGACCCTGTCTCTAAAATAAATAAATAAGTAAATGTTATGTTATGTGTATTTACTGCAATTAAAAAAACCTTAAGAAAAAAATGGAATCCACAAATAATGGAAATCCTTATTTCAGGGGGAAAAAAAAATCAGCATCTGCCCTCACTTAATCTCTCATGGCAACAAGAATGGAAAAGCAGCAAATCTGAGCCAGATCTACTTGCCCTTCCTTTTTCTACTTTTCCAGTGAAACAGCCAAAGATAGAGAAACAGCCAATGTATGAAAAAGTCACAAGGAGTTCAGAATCTGGATAAACCATTCGTGCAGTAATCAGTTCATCACGAGAACCTGACTTTCACTGAAGCGCAATCTGAGAGCAGGAGCCCAGCCCAACTGGAACTGCACAGGCGGAGACGAACCCCTCTCAGCCACTCATAGAGGGGGGCATCCCTCCCCAGCCCGCGTCTGACTGTCCCACCCTCAGAGGGACACTTACACACATTTGGTGCCTGATGAGTAAATGACAACTGGACTTTGATGGAAGGTGCCACGGAAACGTGAAAACACCACTGGGAAGATGTCCCCAGCCTCCTACTCAACTTCACCTCCACAGCCACAGAGACCCCCCTCACCTGGCGGGCGCATCTATGGCCAGAGTGAGGAACAAAGTCGTTAGCTTCCCAGGCCATTATGAGGCCCCTGTGGAAAGCTCCTAATGAGCTACTGGAGTCAAGTTCAAAATCCAGAAGCAGTGGAAACAACCCAAGTGCCCATCAATTCATGAGTGGATTAATAAAATGTGGTGTATGTATACCATGGAGTACTATTCAGCTTTAAGAAACAACGGTGATATAGCACCTCTTGTATATTCCTGGATAAAGCTGGAACCCATCCTACTAAGTATCTCAAGAATGGAAAAACAAGCACCACATGTACTCACCAGCAAATTGGTATTAACGGATCAACACCTAAGTGGACATATAGGAGTAACATTTATCAGGTGTCGGGAGGGTGGGAGGGGGGAGGAGGGGATGGGTATATACAACCAAAACGAGTAAGATGTGCAACGTTTGGGGGATGGACATGCTTGAAGCTCTTACTCGAGGGGGGAGGGGGGCATGGGTAATATATGTAACCTTAACATTTGTACCCCCATAATACACTAAAAAAAAAAAAAAAAAATCCAGGAGCAGAAGTTGAGTATTACTTGGTAAGTGTGCAACACTTCTTGGAATTTCTCCACTCAGCCTTCAGGGTTTTTCTACCAACCCCCTCAAAGAGGAAGAAGAGTAAGTGTGGTATCCCTAGAAACAGGTCCTTTAAGATAGTGTCTAGAGACAAATTCAAGGGCCGTGTGATGATGTATGTGGCTGCCTCATTGCTGTTCTATTAAAAAGAATAGTCTGTGAGCTTTGTGAATAGCCATGACATTTAAGCAAGCCCAGCTAAATGGACATCTGCTGGTCCCCAGAGTCTGGTCAAGAGGCAAAAAGTCAGGCCAGATAACCAAGAGATCCCCCTGCACCCTTGAAAAGTAATTTTCTTGGAATGGGCACAAATTTCTTTCTAGGTGTCAAAATGCTTTCCTTTTCACTATTATCTCCTGCTGACTGAACTAAGTTCAACGCTCCTTCAGAATGAGGGAAGAACACATCTGAGAACATACAGTGAGATTTGACAGAAACCTTTAGAAAACCAGAGGACCCCCAAAATATTCGAAGATATACAAAATGACCTATTTCCAGAATTGTTCCTTTTGGTCATCCCTCCCTGTTATTCCACTCAGCTCTCCTTTATTTTTTTCTGGAATCTCAAATAGCTTATATTTTGTTAATCCATACAGCTTTTTTGTTTTGTTAATAAATAGCTAAAAAGCTGGAAATGTGTCCACAGCAGTCCTTCGCAGCAGTTGGTTCTTGGCAAAACATCCTGAGAGTCAACAAACAAAACCCTAGGGTGTCTCAGCAATCAGAAGGGGACCCTGGAGGATCGCGGCTGTGAACCGCAAGAACTCTGACAGTCCCAGTGAGGCTGCCCGCACGAGAAGAACACAAAGTGAGAGGTAATTTATCCTTCTTGGTAGTCATGTGAGAAAAGCTACTCTGATTAAATCTACATTGAATGTTTGTATCACATTTTTACTCTACAATCTGGCTTGAGATGTTTTAGGGAACTGTTAAATTCTAAAGCAATACAGCCCTTGGAGCAAGGTGCTGTAAGTCTAAAAATTATCCATTAAAACATACCTCAGTGGGTGAAAAAATATAGTTAGAGTGAACAATATTTGATAGTACAGCAAAGTAACTATAATCAACAAGTTAGGGTACACTTTAAAATAACTGAAAGAATGGAATTGGGATGTTCCTAACACAAATGATAAATGCCAGAGGTGATGGATACCCCAATCACCCTGAATTTGATCAATCTGCAGTGTATGTCTGTATCTAAACATCACATGTACCCTATGAAGATATACAACTATTATGTACCCATAATTAAAATTTTTTTAAAGAAAAGAGAAAAATCTGAAAAATAGTAAAAGCATATACATACTCTCTCTTTTCAATGACAAGTCATTAAAGATCAGAAAAGGTAACCTGGAAATGATGTAAGCTATTTCACAAATCCAAACACTTCACTTATGGTAGGAGTGTGTGTGTGTGTGTGTGTGTGTGTGTGTGTGTGTGTGTTAGAAATATAAAAAAATCTTAATGTGGTCATACATATAAATACTCTTTGTCAGTGGATCTAGAGTATATTTGCTTAGGCAACAACTAAAATGTTGAGTGCCTCTGAAAAACAAATCTCCTTTTGAGTAATGATGAGTCTGATGTGGAATGAGAAGACTACAGGGAGAACACATTTCAAGTGAAGATAAAAACCTGAAGAGCCTGAAAGAAAGAATGATAGATGCTACAGTCAGAGAAGCTAAAACTATAAATTCCAAATAACAATTTTAGTTTAAAAGATTTGGGTTAAAGTTGTCTTTTGTATATAATGAAGGAAATATTTTGAAATATTTGTTTGAAGGACTTTGATATAAATTCATGTAGATAAATAATTATGGTATAAAATAGTTTATCATCACTTAAATACTACTTCTGTAATTTCTATATGCATTTTTATTTTATAGGAGGTTATAAAATCTACCCAGAATGCCACAGTATGCCACCAAGATGCTTCTGAGCTAGTGTTTAACACTGTAGATTCTCTTTGATCACAATATGGTATGAAAAAGGGAAAGTATTTTCTTAAATTTTGAAAGTAAGCTACCCAGAGTTCTATGACCTGCTTCTGAAGATAACATATGAGGACAGCTGGTTTCAGAGCGTAGCTTTACCGCATTTGATTAGCCAAACTTATCTCTAGATCCCACAAAGGCAGCCACTGCCCCTTGGGTAGAAATCCATGATCAATACATTGTTCAATCTGAGTTTCACTTTTGCTAAAAAGTGAAAAACAAAGAAAAAACTCTCAGGCTGTACTGGCAACTGGAAACACTAGAGGGAGTTGTGAGCACACATTCCTCTAAGGCTGGTCTGGATACCCTTTTCCAACTGATCTCCACTTGGGTTAGCCAGGGAAGGGAAATCGGCTATAACTGGCCCCAGGATGACCTGCTTTCAAAACACACTGCCCTTCGACATTTGACTGATTCAAAAACAGGTCATCACTGAAACCAGCCAGGGCCCAGTGTGACTGTAAACATGGCCACGGATCATTTCCCTCCCTCCCTGCACTCAGTCTATTTCCTCCCCCCACCCACTCTAGGCTTTGCCACCTGACTTGATTTGGTCAAGGAGACATCAACAAGCATGAGGCAAGCAGAGATTGAGCAGTAGAAGTGCCCTCTCTGGCTGCTTTCAGGAATCTTGCATCCACTATCCTGTGAAGCCCAGGATAGCCCAGTGGCAAGAGGCTCATGGCCAAGTTATCCCTGTTGTCCCAGCCGACACTGAGTCAACCACCAGATGTTCAAGTGAGGCCACACTAGACCACAGAGGCCTCACTGAGCCAGCCTAGGTCACAGGAACCACCTAACTGATCCACAGAAACATTTTACATGCCTAGCTTTCGGGGCAGTTTGTTACGCAGCAAAAGCTAACTGATACGTGCAATAGTCCCACAGTCTGTGTAACCCAGCTGGGCAATGACCCTGACGGAAGACCAAGATGCAGACAGCCAGAGGGAAAGAGCTTTCTACCTGTAAAAACTCCACTGGGGTCCCACTCAAATGCCACATCCTTCGCTAAACCTTCTGTGATTTTTGGCCCTAAACCAAGCATGTCTTCATGCTCAGTTGATTCTTCTTGATCAACATTCTTGCAATGTGTCTTTATTTACACCATAACCTGTGTCATTCTTGTGCTTACTTCAATGTCAATAAAAAAAATTGTTCAACTCAATTGAAAAGCAGAATTTAAAAAAGATAAACCTTTCAACTTTTCTGTATGTTTGAAAGTTTCCAAAATTAAACTGTTGGGAGGAAAAGATGATAAACTATCTTTCACTTATTGACCCAATGCAACACTATAAACACTATGCCATAGAAATGAATGTTTGTGTCTCCCAAAAATTCATGTTAAAACCTGACCCCCAATGTTATGGTGTTAGGAGGCGGGGCCTTTGGGATGTGATTAGGTCATAAGGGTAGAGTCCTCACGAGTGGATCCATGCCCTTATAAAAGACCCCAGAGATCTCCCTGGCCCTTCCACTATGTGACGTCACAGCAGGAGATGGGTGTCTGTGAACCAGGAGGTAGGCCCTCACCAGACACCAAATCTGCTAGTGCCTTGATATTGGACTTTCCAGCCTCCAGAACTGTGAGAATTTATGTTGTTTACAAGCCACACAATTTATGGTATTTCATGATAGCAGCCTGAACAGACTAAAACAAATCACAACCACAGGGATTATTTTGTCCACCACTTCCTTTTCAGCACTTAGAATAGTGCCTAGCACATAGGAGCTTCTAAACAAACAGCTGTAAAAGGAACTTAGGAAAGAATTAAAATGAAGACAAAACTAAGAAAAAAAACCATATGTCCTTAAATGAACTCTGCTTCAAAGTCATTCATTTGCTCCAGAGGGGGGAGATGAAAATGATCAAAAGAAGAGCTGTGGCCATGTCCCTTGCTCACACCGAACCAGGATTGAGAGGTTAGTAAGTGTGTCCTCACCCCCAGCAAACACACCTTGACTGCTGTCTGTGGCCACCTCTGCTCCCACCACCAGGTGAGGTATATGGTTACCAAGAGTCAGTCTGTTCCCAGGCCTGTTTACACCAAGCAAATGTAATTTACTGTAATTCTACTTCTTACATAAATATTGTGAACTGATAAAAATGCATTTAAAAAGGAAAAGCTCCTGTTTCCATGAGAACAAAGTTGAATTCTTTGGAAACATTATATAAAACTGAGTTTAAAAAGCTGTCGTCAAATTAAGTAAGTGAGATAACTATCAAGGATCTGGATAAAAGTATTCAGATTGCTTCACGAGGATTGTTAAATCCTACTCTCATTTAAAGAGACTGAGAAAACTGGAATCACAGACACTACACGACAGGTATATTTTAAGAAAGAGGCCGGGCGCTGTGGCTCACGCCTGTAATCCTAGCTCTTGGGAGGCCGAGGCGGGCGGATTGCTCGAGGTCAGGAGTTCAAAACCAGCCTGAGCAAGAGCGAGACCCCGTCTCTACTATCAATAGAAAGAAATTAATTGGCCAACTGATATATATATAAAAAAAAATTAGCCGGGCATGGTGGCTCATGCCTGTAGTCCCAGCTACCCGGGAGGCTGAGGCAGAAGGATCACTTGAGCCCAGGAGTTTGAGGTTGCTGTGAGCTAGGCTGACGCCACGGCACTCACTCTAGCCTGGGCAACAAAGCGAGACTCTGTCTCAAAAAAAAAAAAAAAAAAAGAAAGAATGACCACAAGAAACTCAAAAGACCATATAGAAAGCAAAGGCCCTGGCCTCACATCAAAAGTATGATAAATGAATATACATTAATAGGTTGTGAATTAATATAAAAAGTGAAAGGTATGTCTACATAATTTCTACCTGACATTTTTACTGACCAACCAGTTTCTGGTCCTGAATGCCAGTAGTCCAGCGTCTGCTTCTGGACCAAAACGAGAGAATTTACAATTCAAATATGGTCACTCGAAGGCCACTGACCTGCGGAATGGTGGGAATCCACAGAGAAGTATGTACGTGATCACACCGGCGGCCCATATGTCCACCTTCAGGCCATAGCTAGGAAGACAAAGTGGGTGGGAAGGGAAGAAATGATATGAATCCCCAGGAACCTTCCACAGCACTGGTGTATTGCCTCTGTTAGGACCAAAAGGGTCTTTTTGGTGTCAAATTGTTCATTTTATGTAGAGGAATTCAATTACCCATTGGAAAATGGCATCTGTTCTTTTCCCAACCCAACCACAGTCTTGGTGACTACTGCTATATTCAAGAGCAGCCTGGGGACCAAAGTCCAGGTCTAGGCCTCTTGGCCAGACAAGCACAAATGGCGGTTCCTGAGGCCAATGCCACGGTGCCGGTGACAGTCTTCTTCCTCCCAGCGCCCACCTTCACGGCAGCCACCGGCCATCAGCAGCAGTGACAAAAGCAGACCTTTTCCCACCAAAGTTAAAGTACTGCCCCAAACCACTCGGAGTCTTACCCAGTTTCAGCAATGATTTCTGGAGCTACGTAAGTTGGTGTGCCACAGACTGTGTACAAAGGGCCTTCCACCACGGTGGCGAGCCCGAAGTCTCCCAGCTTCAAAGACTTGGTTCCGTCGGGATACTCACACACCTGGAACACAAACCAGCCGGCACTGAGAACTTGGTTTTTTCCCCTCAACAACTGCAACACGGCCCTTGGAATTAAGCAGAAAGGAGGCAGATACATTTACTATTAAACTCAAATGAAATCTCTCCTTGTGACACTAACACCGTGATTTCTCTCTGTTGCTTCCAAGCGTCAATTCTTCTCTTCTGAGATCTTGCGCAACTGTGTGGAATTCAGAGAAGACGGCATTTTCCACCTTTGCAGCAAGTTCCTTACCGAGGAGCATAAGGAACACAGGTGCTCACGTAGTCAATAGGCTGCAGACGGCCGTTTACCTGATGTGCTTGAGAGGCGCGTGTAAATGTGGAGGTAGAAAACTGCCCTTTATTTCCTTTAGTGTTTACTGTGTGAGGTACTTGAGAGCCCAGGAAATGCTGTTTACCAAAATACCCACCAAAGCGCTAGGTGTTCTCCAAGAGACTCCCATGTTTAGTGGAGAAAATAAAATCAGCAGCAGGAACGGGGCCTTGTTTACTGCATGGTCAATGGTGGGAAATAGAAATATTATGTAGTGGAAAACCTTGGAAGGTTAGAAAGAAAATGGCATTTGGGATCAGACAGCCTATGCTCAAACAACAACTTCATTCGTCTCCTGTTGTGTGACCTCTGAAAGTCACGTAACCTCTCTGAGCACGTCTGTTCATCTGAGAAGTGGGATAATACCAGCACCTTCCTCATGAAGTGGGGGTGAAGATAAAATGAGACAAAGCTCAGAATAAGCCTCAAAAAATGTTCCTTCCATCTCCTGGAAGGACTGGTTGATTACAGATATATCATATTGGGAAAGGTTTAAAAATTCTGATGAAGATACAAATGTTTATGCTTAAATTGAAGAACCTTTTTAGAAAGCATTTCAGCAACATACATAAAATTTCTTAAGATCATATATAACCTCTGACCCAGCAAATCTACTTCTAAACTTATTCTAAGGGAATAGAGATGTACCCAAAGGTTATACATGGAGGCTGGCAATCTCAGAATTTATCTATAACTCTTAAAAACTGGAAGCAGGAGGGGTATGGTGGCTTGTGCCTGTAATCCCAGCACTTTGGGAGGCTGAGGCAGGAGGATCATCACTCCAGACCAGGAGTTCGAGACCAGCCTAGGCAGCATAGCCAGATTCCTTCTCTACAAAAAATTAAAAAAAAATTTGCTGGGTGTGGTGGCACCTGCCTGTAGTCCTAGCTACTTGGGAGGCTAAGGTTGGAGGATCACTTGAGCTCAGGAATTTCAAGGCTGTAGTTAGCTATGATCATGCCACTGCACTCCAGCCTGGGCAACAGAGTGAGACTATGGTCTCTTAAACAAAAACACACGAAAAAAACTAAAAGCCACATAAATGGCCAACAGGGCAATGACGTAATAAATTATGGCATATGCCTATAATAAAATATTATGTAGTCACTAATAAACACTTCTCAAATAATATTAATCATATGGGGAATATTCACTACATTACATGGCATTAAGAATATTCACTTACATATAAAATACAATATTCCAAAATGTTAAGTTTATCTCTAGGTGGTAGTATTAAGAATTACTTTATTGGTACCAAAGTTATTAAAAGTAAAAAAGAAAGGATTGCTTTATTTTTAGTTTTCAAAATATTTACAGTAAACATGTACTGATTCCATAATTATGAAAAGTTGATTTTATATATAGGCAAACTTCCTTTATAGGATAAAAGCCTGAAAATAACATTCTAAATGGAAAGTTCTGGAAGCAAACAAGTATATATGACAGCATAATTCAGATTTGATCGTGTAATCCTTCCCTTGCTTGTACGATCTATTTGCCTACTGAGTGTCCATTTTGAAAACACCGAATTTCAGAGAATAAATGCAGTAACCTAGTCTATACTCACGTAATATCATTTTCTATTTTTATACTTTAAATGTACTTAGTTTGCTTTTCTTACTATGAACTGAATCAGATTTTTATCTCAACCACTACTAACTAAAGGAGAAGAAAAATTTACAAAATTATGTTTTTGGTTTTGTTCAAGATAAGCATGTTAACGTCCTCTACTAGTTCAGCACTTAATGAAGGGGAGTGATTGAAACAGCCATCAAGAACCCCAGCGGACCCCCACACCGATGATCCCCAGCTTTACGGGACGGTACCTGTGATGTATGAGAACATTTATCACCCTAGTATTTTAATAAATTCTCCCACTCCTATGTAATATGCACATCCCCAGCACACATCTCTAAGACTTTAAAGTTTCACGGGAGTAATGATGAAAGTTTTGAGTCCCTCTCAGATATTTATAACTGAGTCAGCCCACATTCGGCTGAAACATAGTCAAAGCTATTAATGATTTACCCTGAAGTAACAGAATCCAGATCTTTAGTCATGCCACAGTCTTAGGACAACTTCCCATCCATTATGTTTAATGTAAACATTAACGAGAACAATCTGATATGATTACAGTTAGAATTTATGATGTATTCACTGAAACCCAGACTTTAGAAAGAAATTCCGTAAGTAATTACAGTGATAAGAATATTATAAGCACAATTTCCTAAATGTCTGTACCATGAGAGTAAAAAAAAAGTTTTATTAATGTCATTGTTGTTTTGTTCCTGCTACTTAAAAATACTCTCATTAGGTACAATTTTTGAAAAATGGTGTTTATTTTAAACACTCAATTTAGAGATGCCTAGGGGTAGGGGTTGTTGTCAGTTACTCAGAAGTCCCATAAGTGCCATTTTTCACATCCCCTATAAAGAATTCAGAGTCAGATGCAGAAGCATAAATAGAAAGGGACTGAACAGTCTATAATCGCTGAATTATGTACCAGAGAGTAATACTCCTTGGCTAAACATCAAAAAGGAAAGGCAGACAAGCCTGAAATAATAATATTTTATCTGATTCATCTCTCCCCAATGCTAGCAAATATGTAAAAGATAATAAGAATACATTTCAAATCTTAGCTGGAGATTCTCTTCAAAGCAGGAAAAAAAATTACATAGAGATGGATAGGTATACATAGATAGACATACACAGCATTGCTTTAAGAAACTAACGTTAGCCAGACACTGTGGCTCGTGCCTGTAATCCCAGAACTTTGGGAGGCTGGGGTGGGAAGATTGCTTGAGGCCAGGAGATCAAGACCAGCCTGGGCAACAGAGTGAGACCATATCTCAAATTTAGTTTAAAAAAAAAAAAAAAATTCAAGAGCATGGTTTTTTTATAAAAAAAAAAAAAAAAAAAAAGAAACAAACTTATTTTAATAAAGGGTTCCAGGGACTCCAAAGGCTTTCTGGCAGAGTTCAGTTCTCCCCAGTAACTGACATTCTCTAAAACTTAAAAGATTTCAATATTCTTCCCAAACAATGTATTACTAGACTTCTATAGTTACTCCACTGGGCAACTAGGGAAAGAACTGTTACCCTTATTTTACAGATGAGGAAGCTGAGGTTACTGGTAAGTAGCCAAGCAGGGATTCGAGCCAGAACCATTATCCGTTCCACCACACCATTCTGCAGTAGACTCTGTGTCTGAAAAATAACTGGGTGAACCTGACAGAACCCTCACGACAGCCTGCACGGCATAAAGACTTTGAGCGAACTTCTACAATCACAGCTGCAAGGACGCCAGCCCTGCAGTGCTCAGACGCCCCACCACAAGCTGAGAGATGCTTCTGTCAGAAGTCGCTCTCGGGATGCAAAAATAAAAAATGTGAGGAATGTAGATCCCACAAAGTGAACGCTGCACGTTCTCTAAATAAAATGTCAGCATAATGATTTAGAAGGACTTCAAATATGAGAAACCAACCCTCTTCTCTCCCCTGTCCCCAGAACTCCTGGAAAACCTGAATTTATCACTGGTCTCTCGTAGTTACCTCTGACAGGGCGCCACCGGGCTGTAACTCACAGCATTAACGGCCACCCCCGCGCTCCCTGACACGGCGACCCACACATCTCCACTGGCAGGGCTTTAAATTATGACACAGCTACCAGAGAAAGGGATGCAAATCAGATGTCTGAATGCTCTGGTGTTTTAAAAACCGCATCAGTTCTCAGAGCAGGAGGAGGCTGACGGTCACTCTGGGTGTTTACTTTAGTGCCTCAACGGTAGCTGCTCCTCCTGGGCCGATGCCCATCTGCTGACCAAATCTAGACATTGCCGACTGATCTACCATGTTTTCCCTGAAAATAAGACCTACTCATAAAATAAGCCCTAGCAGGATTTCTAAGCACTTGTGCAATAGAAGCCCTACCCTGAAAATAAGACCTAGTGATGGGCGTGGCTACGCAGGGTATCTGCACAACCCATGCATTTCATCTCGGAGCGGTAAGGAAGACGAGCAGCCCTTCTCAACTGCCCCATCGTGACAGCTACTATCCCAGAGGTGACCCGAAAGGTGCGGGCAGCCCCACCAACAAGGTCGGCTCCCCCTGTCAGGTCCCGGCCATCCAGTGCGTGCTGCAAGCTGAGGCTTTGAGGGGAAAATAACACATCCTCTGAAAATAAGCCCTAGGGTGTCTTCTTTGAAGAAAAATATAAGACCCTATCTTATTTTTGTGGAAACATGGTAGCTAAAATGACAAACACATATTTTACTTAGATATGTGCAGCTGCGGTTGTTTTTGAAGCCAGACCACATGGCCTTTCTGCACAGCACATGAGCTTCATCCAGACGTCAGTTTTGTCATCTTCTTCCCTCTAATCCCCTTTGGGTAGCACCAGCGGGTTGGCGCAGGTTTTGGAGAAGAGGTGAACGCTCCTAGGGCAGGTTACGCTAGATGAGGAACGTGCTTCTGATTTCCCAGCTACATTCTGAGACACATGACACTGGAGACATCAATCCCTCTCACATTATCGACTCTTGATGCACGATGAGAGAAAAGGGGCAGAGTCAGATTCCGAGGAGACTTTACATATGCTAAGAACTGTGCGTGGAAAAGAGAAGAAATGAGAGGTGAGAGCGGGATCCATGAGCTGGGAAACGGACACGCCTTGGTTTCCAGGGAAGTTCACTAATGCCTCAGCCACCTTCTTCGCTGGCCTCAGCAGGACCCAGGCTGGCTCCAGAGTGACCGGTGGCTCCACAAGAACCCAGGTCCTCCGTGTTTACGGAGAGCATAATACCTGTAAAGCTGAGATGAGTGGACTACTTCCAAAATTCTGCCCTGCAAATAAATGAACCCCCATGTTCTACTTCTGCCTCTATGAGCCTCTAATTCTGCCTCCAACTCATTCTTCAGAAATTTTTGCTCCATAAAGTGATTTTACTGCTTCCCCTTTCAGTACCATCAATCAAAACATAAATCAATAAAAATGTATCTTCTAATGTCTGGTAAAAAGTAAATGTAGATCAATTCAAGAAATCTATTAGTATTTTATGGTCATTGACATGAGTCTTGCTGATTTTCCCAATTTAACGTCTCTGCAGGATTGGTACAGACTATAAAATGACATCGTTCGCATATAATTGTGATCGTTTTAAAAGCAGAGAGGCAGCAGTTGGAACAGAAAAAGCAGAGTTGACATACCAAGAGATTCTCTGGCTTGATGTCTCTGTGCACAATGCTGAGGCTGTGGAGATACCTGAGGGCGTTGGCGAGGTTGTACACCATGGCGCTGCCGTCTCTCTCAGTGTACTTGGTTGAAGAAGTAATTGCATCAAAGAGATCTCCACCCTAAAGGATACACAAAAGAACACATCAAAACATCAACCGTGCAATCCTGTGAAGGTAGGAAAGACGGTTCATCAGTCTGGAGTAGAGGAAGAAAAGGACACAAGCGTCACTAAAATGGATGATTATAAATAATGAAAGTTACAAGGCAGCAAAACACTTTTCTGATTAGGTTCTTCAAGAATATTGTAAGTCTTGGGATTAGGCAGCAAGAAGATTTCTCCATCCTTACTTTGACCAATTCCATCACCAGAAAGAGCTCTGTTGCTGTTTCCATCTCCTCCACCAGCATGATGATATTGGGATGTTTCACTCGGCGCAGTATTGACACTTCATTCTCAATCAGGTGCTCCTGTCAAATGAAGGGCGTAGAGAGGAGGATCAGAAATCACAGAACCCTCTGCCCTCTCCCTCTGGCCTGGAGGACAAGACACACGCAGTCTGTGGACATCTGATGCCAACAGAAACACCTCTGTCGGCACAGAGACAACCAGACCCTGGCCTAGCTGGTTCCCATAGGGACAGGACAGGTCAGTGTGGACATCTTGCTGTCACTACCAAAAAGAAAAAGTTTCTGAACATCCTCCCCGCCCCCCAAAGGGCTCAGTGGTGCTGCCCTGGCATATTGTCTTCTAATTCTTCAATATTTCCAACACCTTAAGCAGCAGTGATGCTATGAGAGCATGGGCACACAGCACTGTGCTTTTGTAATTCGGCCGGAACTACTTTTGATTAATGATTTCAGCGTACACTCAGAAATAAAGACTAGGCACACATCAGAAAACTTGGCAGACATGTGGCATATAACTTCTGGCATTAAACATTGTTAGTTTTTAAATCATTACCAATATGAACTTGAATTTCATGCAGAAATTCATGAAAAACTTTCTTACTCTGTGATTGTGAAATCATTCATTCACTAGATGGATCTTCCTTATCATCTTGTATTTTTAATCTGGAAACACATAGTACCATAGGGACTACTATTCTCATTTTAACTCTAATCACTTCTCCTCTGAAACCACCAACTGATAATCACTCCCAGTGAGTAATGCGGTTGGGATCAGTGCTGTAGCAAAATGTTTACTTACAGAATTAAGGAATTATATCTCAGTACATCAACCCTTGAATCATGAACGACTGCTCTATTTTAAATGAGACATAAAACCCTCTCAACAATGCCATACTGCCATATTCATTGGTCCTCATTAACTTTAATAATGAATTCTCTTGAATTTAGAGGACATGCTGTAAAATTTGCTAATTGTCCTCTTACACGTTCTAGTATTCAAATGTAGCTTTTTTTTTTTGAGACAGAGTCTCACTTTGTTGTCCAGGCTAGAGTGAGTGCCGTGGCGTCAGCCTAGCTCACAGCAACCTCAAACTCCTGGGCTCGAGTGATCCTTCTGCCTCAGCCTCCCGAGTAGCTGGGACTACAGGCATGCGCCACTATGCCCGGCTAATTTTTTTTTTTTATATATATATCAGTTGGCCAATTAATTTCTTTCTGTTTATAGTAGAGACGGGGTCTCGCTCTTGCTCAGGCTGATTTTGAACTCCTGACCTTGAGCAATCCGCCCGCCTCGGCCTCCCAAGAGCTAGGATTACAGGCGTGAGCCACAGCGCCCGGCCTTCAAATGTAGCTTTTAAATCAAATCTACCTTATAAAAGATGTCATCTGCTATCTAACTACACTTATATGCATATATCCATGTAGATATGTATATGTGTATGTATTGCTCATATTGCCCTTTTTGCCTTTGCTATAATGAACCCTGGAGCTTAATTTAGTGTTCCAATTCAATAATTTATTTTATCCCTAGTTCAGGATAATAGTTAAGGTTCCCTGCTTATCTTTGTGTATCCATGTGTACATGCCTTTTTACTCTAAGCCACCTCAAATTGTTTTTGATCATAGCCAGAGTTATAAATTGTAACAAACGAATAAGCAACGTGCAAGGAAAATCTGTTGCAAGCTCCTGCACATGGCTGGCTGAGTAGTGAATGCCCTGTGCTTGTCCAAGTAGTCACTAAATAAATGTTGGCAAATGACAGTGCAAACGCTAACCCAGGCGTCCTCAAACTATGACCCGGGGGCCACATGCGCCCCTCTGGGTGTTTTTGCTGCCAATGCCTGTCCTGCCTAGCAGCCGACTCCTCCCGGGCACGTCCGGGGCCCACAGTGCGCATGTGTGGAATGTGCGCCCGCACTCTCCAACGGCCCTCCAACCGTCTGAGGGACAGTGAACTGGCCCCTGTTTTAAAAGCTTGACCCCCGCGCTAACCAGAAGTAGGGGAAAGAAAGGAACCAACATTTACTAGTCACTATAGGACTAGTGATAGGAATCTAGTCACTATTTGTCAGTGGCTGGCTAAGGTATTTGTGTGATATTTAAACACTTTATCCTTAGAACAGTCCTTAGAGATTGAGCATAAACCTACGATTCTGACATCCAAGCCCACATTTCTTGTATTATACATAATCACCTTTCAAAGAGGAATACTTCATTAAATGGCAACTTTGGAATTTTTTCAAAATGAAGATGATAGCCAGAAAGCTGAAAATATCCAATTTTTTGAAAAGATAACAACAAGCGTATCACACTGAGTTGGGGGTTAAGAACCACACCAGGCTTTGTGCAAGGAGAATCTATGCTCCTTTTGATGAACAGGAATGGGATGTCTTTGACTGGCTTCGGACTCAATACAGGCTTCCAAATTTCCTTGAAATAATGGTGGGTTTTAGACCCCCAACAAACCACAGCTGGGGAGCCAAACACAGGGTTTCCTACCTGTTTCCAAGGCCCATCTGTCTAAGTCACAGAGCAGCAGCACAAAGCGGCAGAGAGCACCCTGGGCCCTCCCCAAGGAAGCAGCTGCACAGCCACCCCATCGTGGTCACAGAGACAAAGAAAGGACTTGGCAAACCCTCCAGCATTGATTCACGTGTTTTAAAGCTTCCAGATCATCTGTGTCAAGCATGTCCTTAATCACACTAAAAAGGAGGGTTAGATATACTTTCGGGAACACGTAAAAGCAAGCAAATTAATTTATTTCACCCTCCGTGAAGCAAAGACAACAGAAGTTACCACCATTGTAGTAAAACGCTTTTTATTTTAAAGCTAAATGGATCTGTCACTTCAATTCTCCTCCTTGCTGCTCATTTTCTCCAAAGTTGGTAGATAGTCTATAAATTTGCCTCTTTAGGGCTCCATTTGTGATGCTAATTTAAAGTGATGTATGTAAAATAACCCCTTCATCAGTACCCCAAGAAGCTCTCAAACTGGACTTAAAATGAGATGTCTACCGTAAGGAGACTACAACTCCCAAAAGTTATTATCTTCTTCAGTAAAAGGCACAATGGAAAATCTTCTGAGATACACCGTAAAACTTCTGCTAAGGGCCACTGGCAGTGTTACATTTCAAATATTGAGGGAGCATCACAGCAACATTTTCCCCAGCATTATGTATTATCTGAGCTTACTGTACCCTACACTTGACGATGGCTGGTATTCTAAGCAGAGTGAATGCTTCTGGTGGAATGAGGGAGATGTTAGCCTTTGTTCTCGGCCTCTTTGTATCCTTGTAAAATTGTCTGAGAAGGAAAAATCTGCTTTTTAAACTAATCATCAGAAACAAAAGTGTTGCATAAAAATCTTTACAAAATGTCATATTCCTATTTCTTATGCAACCATATGTAGTCTTTGTTTCTAATGTGTAAAAAATACTCTCTAGGTTAAATTTTCCAAGAGAATATTTCTAATATGAATATCACTTTTGTCTTGAACTTACATTATTCAATCATCTACCATTATTTATGTTAAGCGATTCATGATTTTAACTCCAAATAATTTACATATGAATCATTTCATGGCAGCGTTCCACGGTTCTGTGTGAGAGTAAATGACAAAGAAAACTGCTAACTTGGCAAAGGATACTGCCTTATCTTTGGCCATGGTGATTTTAACGTACAAAGAGAGAGAAGGGGCTGGGGGGAGATATCAGCAGAATAAACTCTCCCAATCTAGACTAATCATACTGTCTCAGCCCATCCCAGCCCCACAAAACAGTCCTCTTTCCTCCTGTGTTCTGTCTCATTGAAGGAACCCGGCTGCCCCAAAGCAGAATGAGAATTTTACCCTGATCCCTCCCTTCCTTCATCCTCTAATACAGCAGTCCCCAACCTTTCTGGCACCAGGGATCGGTTTCATGGAAGACAATTCTTCCATGGATGGGGGCAGGGGGGAATGGTTTCAGGATAATTCAAGTACATTACATTTATGGTGCACTTTAATTCTATTATTATTACATTGTAATATAGAATGAAATAATTACACAACTCAACACAATGCAGAATCTAATGCCACCACTGATCTGACAGGAGATGCAGCTCAGGTGGTGATGCAAGCAATGGGGAGTCGCTGTAAATACACATGAGGCTTCACTCACCTCCCGCTGTGTGGCCTGGTTCCTAACAGGCCATGGACCAGTACCCGTTCCAAGGCCCAGGGCCTAGGGACCACAGCTCTAATACATCCACAATCCCTGGCCATCTACCTTCTCGGTGTGCCTCTGAATCCATCCACTGACTTCTCTCTAGCCCTCTTGCCAATCTCTCACCTAGACTTCTAGGCCTTTGCACAGGTAGTTTTCTTTGTCTAAAACTTACTTTACCCACTTCTTTGTGAACTCCTGTTTACTCCTCAGGACCAAGTAAGATCACAAAGAAACCTCCCCTGCTCACTCAAGGATGCCGGGGGTCAGGTACCCACTTCTCACATGCTCTCACCACTGCCTGTGCTTCTTCCAATCATGCATCCGTCCCACTGTCTTTTAATTGTTCGTGTGCTGGTCTGTAATGCTCTGTAACTGAGGGCTTGCCGAGGTTTCTGTTTACATCGCTCTCCAGCAACTAGCACAGTTAGTTACTGAAACACGGTAGGTACCGAAGTGCTTGTGTGAATGAACGATCACACCGTGCAATGCTCTTGCCAGACAGTGGCTTTACAGCTGACACTGATGTTGCTTAGTGAATACTGCTGAAGACAGTACAGTAGGAGAAAAAATGTTCACGTTTCCATACCCAAAACGTACAGTAGATTGAATAATGGCCACCCAAAGATATCAAGTCCTAATCCCTATGATTTGCAAATATCAGCTTACTAAACCGAGGCGATTAGGATTCTGCAGCGAAGAGATAACCCTGGATTGTGTGGGGAAGGGAGTGTTAAATGCCAGCACAAGTGTTCCTTATAAGAAAGAGGCAGAGGAAGATTTCACAGACAGCAGAGGAGAGAGAAACACAGAAGAGAGGGCGATGTGGAGACAGAGGAAGAGACTGGAGTGATGCGGCCACAGCCCAAGAATACCGTCAGTCTCCAGACGCTGCTTATAGGCACAGAATCGATTCTCCCCAAAAGCCCCAGAGGAAGCATGGATTTCTGACTTCTAGCCTCCAGAACTGTGAGAAAATAATTTTCTGTTGTTTTAAGCCACCAAGTTTGCGGTAATTTATTCCCACAGCCTCAGGAAACTAATACAGTATACTTTTGGATTTATGTCCTGCCTGGGCCCATGTAGATGATGAATGCAAAACTGTAAGGTGGGAAGAGAAAGAGGGACCACTTCTAAGTACCATAACAGAAAGCTCAGGGCTTTGCACACTGTGGGAATTCAATAAATATTTATTTAGAATGAAAGAGAATATTAGAGCTGGAAGAATTCTTAAACTTACAAATACCATAGCCTTCTTAACAGCCTCCATAAATCAGGCCCCAAGGCAGCTCTTGCGATAATCTTCTACTTAGAAGGACCCAACGCGCTTTCTGTCCTCTGGGCCTTTGTTTCAGCTGTTCCGGCCACCTGGTAGGCTGTTCTTCCACTGCTGCCTATTGCAATCCTACCCCCTGTTCCTGTTCCAGCTCAAATACTTCTTGCTCTCTGGCATCTTAACTGGTCACCTACACCTTTCTCGTACGGTTCCTCTGAACTCCCATAACACTATTTGCAGAATTGGTATTATTTGTTAAATTACCCTATTCCTAGCAGAGTGTGTTGCACATAGAATACACACACCAAATTTCAGATGAATGAATAAATTAATGTAATAATGCTCACGTACATTACAGATGAGCCAACAGAAGGCAAGAGTAAGAATTTTTCAGCCGTGCGCAGTGGCACAAGCCTGTAACCCTAGCACTCTGGAAGGCCAAGATGGGAGGATTTCTTGAGGTCAGGAGTTGGAGACCAGCCTGAGCAAGAGGGAGACTCCATCTCTACTGAAAACAGAAATAATTAGCCAGGCGTGGTGGTGTGCGCTGTAGTCCAAGCTACTTGGGTGGCTTAGGCAGGGGGATCGCTCGAGCTCAGGAGTTTGAGGTCGCCGTGAGCTAGGCTGACAGCATTCTAGCCCAGGTGACAGAGTTGAGACTGTGTCAAGAAAGAAAGTAAGTAAGTAAAGAATTTTTTCCAGGTTCCTATTACAATGAAGAAATTAATAAACTGAACTAACAGAGGAATCATGGTAGACCGGCCAATACTATAAACAAATAGCCCAAAATTACAAGTCACACAGCTCTGCCTCTGTGTGACTTGATGGAAGCTGTTTGAGTCTCTGTTTCCTTATCGGTAAAACTGGTACATCAGTTTGCATGTCATTAAAGGTAATCTGCAAAGTTCCTATATATCCAAGGATGGATAAATAATACATTTTAACAAATGACACATATTTTCAGTATTATTAATTTCCTGTATACAATAAAGGTGACCCACAGGCCAGTTAGCTCAGTTGGAAAAAAATAAAGTGAAAATAAAAAATAAAAAAGGAAAAAAAAATTTAAATATATATATTTTAAATTTTAAAAACTGAAAAATTGGCCAGGCGCGGTGGCTCACGCCTATAGTCCTAGCTCTCTGGGAGGCCGAGGCGGGCGGATTGCTGGAGTTCAGGAGTTCGAAACCAGCAAGGAGCAAGAGCGAAACCAGGAGCAAGAGCGAGACCCCGCCTCTACTATAAATAGAAAGAAATTAATTTGCCCACTAAAAATATATACAAAAAAATCAGCTGGGCATGGTGGCGCATGCCTGTAGTCCCAGCTACTCGGGAGGCTGAGGCAGCAGGATCGCTTGAGCATTCACTCTAGCCTGGGCAACAAATTGAGACTCTGTCTCAAAAAAAAAAAAACCAACAAAGGTGACCAACAATATCCCAGAAAAGAGGCTGAGTACCACTCTCCTTAAATTTCTTTTTAAAAAAATTCTCCATATCATTTTTTTCTAAAAATCAAATTTAATGGGAAAAAAATCAACTTATTTATAATAAGTTTTAAAATTATAGCTTTATATAATTTTAATGTGAAAATAATTGTTCAAATAAGCAAAGTGTAAGGATGGAAAAAAAACATGATTATGGATTATAAAAATAGAATGACATTCAATAATAAGAAAAATAAGATACAAATGTTTGAAGTGACCTATCCATTTGCCTCAGCACTTAGTGTACCAGACTAAATTTTTTTGCATTCAAAGTTTTTTTTTTAATACTATGGAAACAGCTGCTTACATTTTAATCAGGTAAATAATATCCATATCAATTTTTTTTTACTGTTTTGAAAAATATTTAGTATGTATACAACCAAGCTCCCCAAATTATGACACTTTCTGCTTAAATACACAATACTAGAAGGTAAGAGCAACACTTACTTATATATAGTGAAATGGCTACCACAGTTGAAAAAAGAAAAATAAAAGCACATTAAAGTATTTGAAGAAAATTAAATATACAGAAAAGAAAACCTTACTTATTCAAAGAAAAGGGGGCATTTTGCAATGGCCTTTGCTTGAATAAGCATCACAGTGTATTAAAAAAACATAAATGACAAATTTGCCTCCCGCATTTTCCATTCTGAGGTTCTAAGAAGATTTTTCTAAAATTTTACCATAATATTTTAAGTTTTCTATTAAAAATATACAATTTTGTAGAAGTCCAATGAAGACAAGTTAAGGAGCTCCATACCTATAAAATCACTACTATCACATCAAATCCTGCTAATTATAAATTTTAAATTCCTCTGGCATATTATTGTTAATAGTTAACATGTTAAATTCTTAGTATATACTGGCATGTTTCTATGTTTTCCTTGCCTTAATTCAATAAATCTTAACAATAACTTTGTCTTAGTTATTATTAATAACCACATTTTAGAGGAAAAACAGAGGCACAGAGGGGTTGAATACTTTTTCCAAGGTCACACAGCAAGAAGAGGCAGAGCCAGGATTAAACTTTTTATAATCTGACTCTAGAGCAGTAACATCCAACAGAAATATGTGATCCATACATGTAATTCTGGATTGTCTATCATCCACATTAAAAATGGAAAAAGCAGGCAAAATTAATTTTAAAAATATAACTTAACTTAACCCAATATATCCAAAATGTTTTCATTTCAACATGTAATCATTTAAAAATCCTTCCCTGAGTTTAAAAAGAAAAACAAAGAAAGAGAAGAAAAATATTTTTAAATAATTAAAAAAAAAACAACATATAATCAAATATTCTTTTTTTAGGACTAAGTCTTCAAAATCTGGTGTGTATTTTACACTTATAGCATATTTCAGTTCAGAATAGCCACATTTTAAGTGTTCTGTGGCAGTATGTGGCTAGTAGCTTCAGGGTTGGATAATGTAGTTTCAGGGCCTGTTCTCGTAACTGATATACTATCAGAAAGAAATCTAAAAAGGTCTTTGTCATCACTTTTACAGAATATTTGTTCTTTTCAAATACAGTTAAAGTATCAGTAACTCTAGCAGCATTTCATCAGTGGATCTTTTCCAGCCTCACAGCCGCAGTGGGACAGAAGAAACAAGTTCTTCTTATTGGGGAGACAATTCTTCATAGTGTCATAGTGTTTCTGCTCATTTTGTACCAGCTTTTGTTCCAAACTATACAGCAAACACTCTTAAAATACAGAGATAAGGGCAAAAGGAAGATATGTTCTCTGACTAGAATAATGAAAATAATGTTCTCCTCTGGGGCAAAGGTTTAGCAGGTTTGCCAGAAGCCTCCTCCTAAGGTTGGGGTTCCTCAGCTATGACACAAACCCTTCGTCTATACATCATCCAACTGGACCCACTGCATCCTTTTAATAGGACTTGGGAGGTAAGGGGAACCAACACAGCCATGTTGGTTCGTGTTCATATTACCTGCTATGCCATGAATCATGAAGTCTTCTGTCTCTGACCCAGGAATCTTGTGCCTTTGCCAGCCTCTTTGAAGCTGGAAAGCTAACTTGTTAGCTTGACAGTAAAGTCTGAGCGCCCTCACAGTTCTTGACATAACTTTTGAGTGTTGCTGGGTTTTGAAACCGGCATCTCTCACTCAGAGAAAATAACTTACATATTTTTTAGTTAGGACCAAAATCAAATCAATTTACCGTCTTAGGATTAAAGTTTCTGAAAAATAGCTGGGGGAAAAAAGGCTGCACTGTTTTCCCCACTATTATCGGTGGCCTATTCTTGCTGTGATTGTCTCTTCAAGTCTCCATTTAATAATAAGTTCCTTCACCACAGTAAACATCTCACCGAGTTATTTCAATTTCTTTTACAAAGCAGTTACGTATACTGTACCTTTCCACAGCATTTGGCTTTGTCAATAATCTTTAGGGCAAACTCCTTTCCTGTGGACCTGTGAAATAAGCCGAGGAAGAGCATTAAAAACATACATGAAAGGTACTATCATTCCGATTTTTCTTCTAAGCACAGACTCACAGAAGAAAAACTTGGCTTCTTTCGCTGTGCAAAGACAATGCTGAGTGGAGTCAAGTGAGAAAGGTACTCAAAAAACAACAAAAAAAACAAAACAGGCCTGGCGCGGTGGCTCACGCCTGTAATCCTAGCACTCTGGGAGGACGAGGCAAGTGGACTGCTGGAGGTCAGGAGTTCAAAACCATCCTGAGCAAGAGCAAGACCCCGTCTCTACTATAAATAGAAAGAAATTAATTGGCCAACTAATATACATAGAAAAAAATTAACCGGGCATGGTGGCGCATGCCTGTAGTCCCAGCTACTCGGGAGGCTGAGGCAGCAGGATTGCGTGAGCCCAGGAGTTTGAGGTTGCTGTGAGCTAAACTGATGCCACGGCACTCACTCTAGCCTGGGCAACTCTATCTCAAAAAAAAAAAAAAAAAAATCAAAACTAAGTGAAAAAACAAAGCCACACTGTATGTTAAATATCCTTTTATAAATACTAATAATTATAATATTAAGTAACTGATATCTAAAGTATTTAAATTCTGTTGTATCAGCGATAGATAAGAAAACATTTTTCCATACTTAAAATCTCAAAATAGTTCTCTTAGGAGACAGAATAAAATTAAGAAAAAAATGGATGAAATTTACTGAAAATTTTATTATCAAGGTATCTTCCCATTAATATATTAGTTACATAAGTCTAATTCAACACTGAAAAGTCCCCAGACTTCCATTTTTTTTTCTCAGACAATACTTCAGCTATGATCCGATGCCATGTTGTTTGCACTTTCAAATGCCCTTATCTAGCACTAGAAAGATCATTTACTTGGACATAGAATCTTTTTTTTTTTTAATTTTTTTTTTTAAAGGCTGGTTAAGTGGAGCAGTGGGAATGGAAAAGGAACAAAGGCATCTGTAACTGGTTGTGATAAATTAGCTGTAAGCACCACTGCACTCGGTTACCAACCTGGACATAGAATCTTGATATTATTATTTAATTTTTCAATCACCTTTAACATAATTTGAACATGCCAAAAATATCTGTTAGTATAGGAAGACAGTTCAATAAAGAAGACTACAGTATTCTTAGGCTACATCAGTTCTCTTTAAGAGCAGTTTTGCCAGGTGGTCATAGTACACGCTGATGAGGCTCAGCTTGGGACAATACCCTTTATTTAAATTGCTCTCACCGCCCCTCCTCCCACCATAACATAAACTAAACTCTGCGTTGGATTTCTAACAAGTCTTTCGAAGTCATGTTTTGGATGCTTAGTGTGTCACTTAAGTGGCAATCTGTGCACCGGAGCTAAGTTAATAGGCTTAGAGAACAGGGAGTTATCTTGTGTACCAATAACAAGCACTAAGGCCTCATTAGAAAGGTAACAAAATGGAAAAACTGTAAGTTACCAAAACTTTCTGGAAAATTCCCCCCAAACAATGAAAATTATCACTTAGAACAGGTAGGATAGTGGCCCATAAACATGACCCTACTCTGAGTCTTTGTTTACAAAAGGCTTGGAACAGGCAAAATAGGCTGATTCTGATCTTCAATAGTGAGAGCTCATATAACCTGAACTACTTGCTATAATCAATTAAGTTAAACTGAGATAGAGAGTTATTGTGGGAATTAAATGACTTAATATTAGTACAGACTGAGAATAATGCCTGCCATGGGTAAATGTTATAGGAGATTTTCTTTTAAAAAGACTCTCATTCTTTCCTATTCTTCTCTGGCTCACAGTTGAGACCTGATATATCTCTCAGCCCAAATGCATACAAAACAGTTTTATACTCTACATGTACACATACATGTTTTTCTTGTTAAATTGCTGTGGGCATGCACAATGGTTGGCCTCAGGGGTAGACCCTTTCAGGGGGGGGAGACTTCCCAGACAAGTCTTTTGTTCATTCAGAGTAAACTCCAACAAAAAAAATGTAGGTGAACAAGTAACTATGCGCACTATTCACTCACCTGTCCATACACTCTTTGACTACTGCAAAATTGCCATCACCAATGACCTTCCCAATTTTGTACTTCTCAAGAAGAGCTGATTCAGAGCACCTGTTTCCATTCACACCTGCAAAAGGATAAATGCAAATTCTAAAGAAAACATCAGCATTTTATATTGACTCCTATGTATTTATAAAACAATAAATTGCAATGCATTTATTTTTAAATCTAGGGTGAAACAAACAAAAAAAAATCTCTGAGCATATTTTCTGAATAGAACACCTGAATCACCAAATTTCCTTTTGACCTTGTTGGTTGGAATCAGAAACTATAATCAACAAACCTAATGAATCTCTGAAATACACCTGAAACAAGTGGTTAGTCTTGGGTAAAAAAGATATCTAACTGAAACTTTTCCACACTTTTTGTCCATGGCCCAAGAAAGGGGAATAGCCAAGTGGCTCATGCCTGTAGTCCCAGCTACTCAGGAGGCTGAGGTGGGAAGAGCTTGAGCCCATGAGTTTGAGGCCAGCCTGAGCAACATAGCAAGACCTAGGACCCTTTTTTAAAAAAAAAAAAAAAAGAAGAAGAAGAAGAAGAAACAAGGTGGGGGAAATGGGATGGTGGTAGAGATTTAATCTTGAAATGTTCTCAAGATTTTCCAGTAAAGACAATTCTACCTAGATAAGATGTATTGTTAAGATTAATTCCTGGCTCAAAACCTTCTTGAAAAGGAAGAGTTAAGACTGGCCCACTCTCACTGTGTGTCCTATTGCTCGGCACATAGCAGACATGAAACACATTTTTGTTATCTAATTGGGCAAAAGGAAATACACTTAAGAGTTGTGAGATCACTACTAAGGAAAAATTAAAAAGCTGAAGCCTAAAATTTGAAGCTGCAATAGACTAATTAATGACAATGAGATTTTATACATCTTGAAGTGTACCCACCCTACTTCCCACTAAGGCTAAATGGGCCCACAGGAGATATGACCACATTCCTGTTCTGGAAGATCCTAATTTATCACAAGTGGATTTTGGTGGCTACCAACTTCACATAGATAATTTCATCTACAAAAGTAATGATCAGACTGAGAAATACCTTCAGGACTCATGCAACGATCCAGCTCAGGTCCACCGTTCACATTGGAAGAAGATCTGCCGTGAGCAGAAATCTGCTGAAGGAGGAGAATGACCATTATTTGTCATGATAAATGCACGAATCTTTAGCTAGCTAGCCCTTACATAATAGAAAATGCTCATAGATGTAAAAATGTAATGACGCAGAATAGAGGAAGCATTCCCTTTCTTCTCAGTCAAGGAAATAAGAAATCCAAATTAAAGTCACTATCAGCCAAATTCTTAACAGAATAAAGATAAGAAGAATGTAACACTTCTGGAAAGTTATATCTCAACAGATACACAGAGAGATCCCTGTGGATCACCACTTGTCCCAACAATGAAGTGATTTGGCAGGTGGACTGCCAATGCACTGAATGACAGTGGAGAGCGGCCAGTTCACCTGTATGTCTAAACCCCACACCCAGAGCAAGGCAGCCCTCCCAGCGCTCAAAGCTGCAGGACTCTGAGCAGCCTGCAGGTCCCACAACCCCTGCTGAGGCCTTAAGGCCCATCTTTGTCCATCCCCTCCCTGAGGCCTACTTGCTCAGCTGTCTTGGAAGCAGGTGGCAAACTTCTAACAAATCCCTGTCTTGAGCTAATCTGAGTGAGATTTGGTTTACTGCAAGCTGGTGTGTCCTGTCTGACTCAAGGACTCTCTAGGAAGTCAGTCTGAGGTGGGGCTGGAACGCAGGCATTTTTACCCCACGTATGTTTTCCCACGGCCGGGTAACTTTTTGACATGTTTATTAGTGGAGTTCCTGTGAACCATTGTTAACGTTCCCAAAGTTTATTTTTATTAAACCCCCACTCCCATCCTATCCTGATCCCTGTACAGCCCAGCAATTACAAACCTGGTTTGTGTTGGGCTCAAGGGTGACAAGGAGCAGGGAAAGAGACCAGCAAACAGAACAGGGCGGAAGCTGCCCCTCCAGGGGCTGAGAGAGCGGCAGCAACTGGGCCGGAGCATAGAGGCGGCAGCGGCCCTGGGCCAAGTGAAAGGCTACTCTCAAGCGCCCTAGACAACGGCTTTTCTAAATCACCAGGAAATGCAGCTTTCCTGGCAAATGATAATGGCAAGAACATTTTTCGAAACTTTCAAATTGATGGATGTTTTTAAAAGTGTTAAGCCTCAAACATTAAAAAAACAAGCACTTTATAGTGTTCACGGGAGTAACTTATCCAATTATGTACCCAAATACATTCCTTTATTTGAAAATAAAGCTTTCATGAAAATAAAAAGCATGAGAAATGTTTTTTAAAAATTTATTGTGAATTCCAAACAATTCAGAAAAATGAAAGTAAAAAAAAAATAGAAATAAAAGAATTTAAAATAATGGGGAAAAAAAAGAGAAAAAATTTATTATAGTGCGGCTGGTCAGAGAGACATAATCGAACCATCTTCCTCTCTCTTCTCTCTTCAGTAACATGTACAGCAACGACCTGTGCTGTTCTAAAGGATACAGAGATGAAGACACACAGTTATTACTGCCCAGAAGTTTACAACCTGACAGTGAGTCATAGGTGCACTTAAATGTGAAAGGCTTCAGGGAAACCCTCCAGTCCAGGACAGGCGCTGCTGGCTGCGGATGACTCGGGAGAGCCGTGAGAGGGAGCCATTTTGCCACAGCACGACCCTGCACTGATATGCTGGAATCACCCAGCGACTGATTAAATTCATTTGGCTTCCCAGTAAGGAAGCCTGGCTTTCCTGAAGGACAAGAAAAGCTCGGTATTCACCGAACTTCTGGACGGATCGCTGGAAAAAGTGAAGCATCCGTTGTTTAAAAGCAAGGGAACGCAGTTCCAGTGCCCCGGGAGACAGGCAGACAAAGAGCAGCTACCACGCAGAGGATAAAGCTGTGACTTCACAAGATTCTGTTTCCTTTGCAAAATGTTTGTATTTCCCTGTCCCTTGTGAGAGAATTACTGTTACTTGAAGGACTGAATTGGAACCAGAGAGATCAAATATGGCATTTGTGATCAGACCTGCCCCGTTTCTATTGTCAAACTAACAATTTACATTAAAGTCTCTTAAAATGCTAATGAGCGTTCATGCTTCCATCAGCAACTATGATGCTGAGACAGCACCAAGCAAAGTGCCATGATGCTGGATGTTAGTGAGGTCCTCCTCAATAAAGCATAATGGGTCGCAGCATCTGGGCTCTTTCAAGATATCATCCATAATTAGCAATAGGTTCAGAAAGATGGGATTACATTGGGGGCGGAAAGGAGGGGGGACATATATTTCCTGATGAAGTCCTGATTGGTTGAGAGAGAAGGTAACAGAAAAGACCCCGAAAGTATTACTCAGAGTGTTCTGTGAGCTGATGTTGCTGCAACACACACCTACTTTTCTGGCACCAGTAGCTCGATTTTTTATGGGTAAGCAAGGAAGGGAAATGCAAGAGAATCCTTCCCTGCTAAGAACTTTCTTTAAAAAAGATTTGAAAACAGAGTAGAAGATATACAGTGCCCTCAGAAGCTAACATCATTTAAAAAGGCATTCATGTGCCCAGCGCAGTGGCTCACGCCTGTAATCCTAGCTCTGTGGGAGGCGGGCGGATCGCTCAAGGTCAGGAGTTCGAAACTAGCCTGAGCAAGAGTGAGACCCCATTGCTACTAAAAATAGAAAGAAATTAATTGCCCAACTAAAAATATACAGAAAAAAAATTAGCCGGGCATGGTGGCGGATGCCTGTAGTCCCAGCTACTCGAGAGGCTCAGGCAGGAGGATTGCTTGAGCCCAGGAGTTTGAGGTTGCTTGTGAGCCAGGCTGACGCCATGGCACTCCAGCCTGGGCAACAGAGCGAGACTCTGTCTCAAAAAAAAAGAAAGGCATTCATGGCTGACAGAGTACATTTGATGGTGAGTGACACTCCAGCTTTCTGTGTTTTTAGCCAGGAAGTTATGTTAGTGTCATAATCAAATCTCTTTGATAGCAATTATTACAATTTATATACTTGAAAGGTCAGACACAAGTGTAAAATACAAAAAAATAAGAAGAAAGAATTACAATTTCTACAAACTTAAAATTTAAAGAGAAATGTTTACAGTCCTTTTAAGACAGTGAAAAAAAAAAAAAAAAAAAAAAAAGAGAAATGTTAAGTACTACACTAAACATAGGCAAGTCTCAAAAGTATCAAGAATGGTTATTCACTGAGTTATGGCATATTATTGACTTGAGTATATTGCTGGACACCATTTCATTTTAATTTTTTTAAAAAGGAAGAAGAACTTGAACTGAATCTAGGAGATATTTGTGTGTAGTGAGTCAATTTTCTGGAACGTATTTTAGAAAATGGCATCATAATGCAAGTGGCAAGTGGTCTACTGCAAGGGTCAGAAGGTCCAGAAAGTAATGCTAGGCTTTGTGGGCCATCCAGTCTCTGTTGCAACTGTTCAACTCTGCTGCTGCAGCAGGAAAGCAGTCATAGGTCATATGGAAACAAATGAAGCATGGGCATGTTCCAATAAAATTTTATTTAGAGAAACAGGTGATGGACTTGAGCCTAGGAGTTTGGGTTGCAGAGAGCTATGAAGACACCACTGCACTCTAACCTGAGCAACAGAGTGAGCCCGTCTCTAAAACGAACAAACAAAAAAACCCCAAAACAAGTGATGGGCTAAATTTGGCCAGCAGGCAAACTCTTGGTCTGCAAAAGAACTTTCTTAGGAAAACTTTTCCTCCAGCATAATTCTTACACTTTCAAACTCTAAAACAGAATCACCTTCTAGGTATGGTTGTTGCTATAAAGCAGTTTTCTTTCCTGCATATTAGAATCACCTAGGAAGATTTGAAAAATTCTATTGCCAGGCTGCACCCAAAATGAATTAAGGATCCCAAGGGGTAGAGCCCAGGTATTAGCATTTTTTAAAGCTTCATAGGTGAGCCAATGTGCATCAAGGCTGAGAACACCTGCGGAGGAATCTGTTTAAGTTCACTTTGTCACTTATCCATTGGTCCAATCACCAAGTCATCTGTGGCCAAAGAGCAACCATCTCTGTAAGAAAAGGAAAAAAGACACCCATAGGTTTCATTGGATCCTACTTTGTGCCAAGTCCTGATGTGAGTATTTTGCACTGAATGAATCAGATATCATCTCCATTGACCTGTGAAGAAACTAAAGCTCACAGAGGTTACGTTATTATGCCCAATCGCCAAGTAAATGTGGAATCAGAATCTTAACCTGGGTTTGACTTCAGAGCCCAGGAGTTTTCCAGCTATTCTCATAGTGTCCTCTCCTCTAAGATTATGAGAGAATTCCTGCAGGGTTACTAAAGGATGTCACCCAGTTCCACAGTCATTGATAAAAATACACATTGTGGTATATTTACAACATGTTTTCAGACATATAACTATAGTAACATTCCTGTAATTTATTCACATGATAGACACATTGATAAATTCACAGCTTTTCCTCACAGAGTTTAAATTTGGTCTTTAAAAAGATGACTTCTGAAGCATACTGCAAATTTTTTTAAAAACCAGCATTCTAAACAGTACTTGTAAATAGATTTGCTTCGTTGTCACTTTTGTGGGTTTTTTTAAACATTAGAAACATTTTCATTAACTAGAAGGAAAGCCAGTGTAAATTACTACAAATGCTGAATTAGAAATGCATTTAAGAACAGAAAGTTTTAGTACTTTTATACTGAATTTGTTATAACTTGAAATATTTCAGTATGAGTAAGGAGATATGAAAATAATCTGAAGCTGGAGTGGAGGCTCACACCTGTAGTCCCAGCTACTCGGGAGGCTGAGAGAAGGGGATTGCTTGAGTCCAGGAGAGTTCGAGACTCGCCTGGGCAACATGGCCAGACGCTGTCTCCAAAAAACAAAACAAAATACAATTGATCTAAATCAGCACCTTGTGGTGGTAACATATGAAGTATTCTTACCTGTAACCATATCTTAGACTTGGTTTCATTTTGCAAAATTAGTGGTACTTTCAACTTAAATATGATTAATAGAGATAAACAGAACTTATTGCCTGCACATGAATAAAGTTTAAAAGAACAGCCAGCTTTTCAGTCTATCAAAGGGGCTATGTGAAATT